CGTATAACCTCGAGAGCAGGGCCCGCCATGTCAAGGCCACCTGGAGTCGCCACTGCAATGTGGTGGTTCATGAGCTCGGTGGAGGACCCTGAGTTCCCCGCAGTGGGCCTGGGCACTAAGGAGGGCCGGGACCAGCTCTACTGGAAGACCATCCGGGCCTTCCATTACGTGTACGAGCACCATGCGGATGAAGCAGATTGGTTTTTAAAAGCAGACGACGACACCTTCCTTGTAGTGGACACCTGCGCTGGATTCTGTCCAACCCACACCCCCGAGGAGCCATCTACTTCGGCAAACGTTTCAAGCTTACACCAAGCCAAGGCTACATGAGTGGAGGGCTGGCTATGTGCTAGCAAAGAGGCCCTTAGGAGATTCGTGGAGGGTTTCCGCACCAAGGTTTTGCACACACACCACGCCTGTAGAGGATCTGGCGCTGGGGCAGTGTTTAGAGAAGATGAATGTTCTGGCGGGAGATTCAAGGGATACTTTTGCGCCGAGAAACATTTCACCCATTCGTGCCAGAGCACCACCTCACTGGCAAGTTCTCCAAGAGCTTCTGGTACTGGAGCTATTGTTACTACCCAATTGTTGAGGCAAGTCCCTCTCTTCTGTTTTACTAGTAAGCTTTTACTATGTAAGGGTCTGCTGTAACAAATATGGACCATGACTCTAAATCCTTACAGGCTTTATATGCTTTACTTATTATTTTACACTTAAATATAATAGAAATCAAGTATATTCTCTGAAATAACTCTGAGTAATGACTGTCTACAATGGGTGTAACACCAGAGTCCTACTGTCTGTGATGTTTTCCGAGTTTTCTGAGTCCTATCTTCAGTTTGTTGACATCGCCGGCCGACGGCTGACTCCTCCCCTCGCGTTGTTTAATTGAGGGACTAGAGAAAAGAAGAATAACATACTGTACTCACTGCTTAACTGCGTTTCTAGATCAGCTCATTTTGGGTAAATTTACATGCAGTGTGAAGATACGAGCATAATAAAGATCTGCTGGATCAAAAAATGGCGTATAAAGCTTTAAGGGACTGATCCCGGCTCAAATTCAATAAATGTTGCATCAAATGGGCTAATGCTTAAGATTCAGACCAACATGTTTCAACATGTTTGATTCTTGCAGGGGACCTTGGTTCCTTCTCTCCATATTTCCTTCTCATATGCTGTCAGCCGTCCCATTGAAGAAAAAACGCCCCTCAGAAAGTGACTCAAAACATTTTTTAAAAGTACTAGGTGGTTCACAGACAGCTCTCTCATGAGACGGACATCTACAGTAGTAGAGTGGATTAGCCTAATCAGAAAGGGCCAGTCATTTGGGAGACGTGCTCCTGAGGGGTTAAATCTATTAGCTGAATCCTTTAATATCATTAGTGTACATCTGCTCTCCAGCGAGTGCTAGAATTATTCCTTTATTATAACATGTACAGTGAGGACTTATTTCCTCACTGAAAGCGAGAAGTGTTTGCAACATATGTTTTTGTCTAATTTAACAAAAGCAAAATGATGTATCTACTGACATAAATGACTCATCACAGAGATAATTACCTAAGAATTGAAACGTGATTATTGGCACTTTTACACTCTGTACCTGAACCCTGCATAAAACGAGCAAATTAAAAAAAGAAATGAGTCCATTTAAAAGTAGATGATTGCAGCAGAACAATATCCCGTCAACAAAGGGAAAATTGGTCAATTTGTGGCTGATGATGCCGCTGATAGATCGTACTTTTGCAATTAAAATGAGACGGGGTCTATTACCGACCCTTTCACGCACGGACTGCGGGTGTACTGAGCTGCTTTGTTCTCTGCGGATTGAAAGGAAAACATCAAAACAATACTTCATATTAAAGTAATACTATTTTTAATCAGACAGTTGAAATGATCATTTGTGGTTTCAGAGCTACCAGCTTATGACAATATTTAAAAATAGAATAATCAGAAGGTAAGTGATATTTTAGTTTCTTCTTGTTGATCAAAAACCAAAATGACCAAAACCAACAATGACTTCCAAAAAGGGCTCCTTGTATTTTTCTTAGTAAGTTCATTTGTAAAGGGTTTCGCACATGGCTACTGTGAAATGTTTATATATGTTCAACACAAAATCTATCAAAGCAGATACATTTACTTTACTTTTTAAATACACTGTTCAGCTGTCAGAGTCATTATTGCTCAACAGCTCCTTTAATCTGAAGCTGTCCCTTCAACACTCAGTACTCTCTCCTCTCTGGAGAATAGACATCAAATCAAATCAAAAGATTTCATTCCTTTAGTTTGAGTTGAAGAAACATAGCAGCCCTGTACTTTGTTCAATTGACTAACTAGTGCACATGGTGGAGACAATTATATTCACGGACCTATTTGTATACAAAATTATCCTGTTCTCTCTTTCTGTTCATGTATTTTATGACTTATATCTTATTATGAAATACATGAAGATTTTTAAAAGGACCAACTGCAGTTTCAAAAGCTTGTTTTTAAGATTTATTTCAATCTTTGTCAATTTCTCTCTTTTTTTGTTGCAGTAAAATCTGCACACAAAAAAAAGAAAAGCAGATTGCAGCATTGTGGATAACTCACCCTGCCTTATTATTATTTTTTTTTTAACAAATGCGCTTTAATTTTATTTTGTGAGTAAAAAACAGTATTATTTAAAACGCTTTGAGGGTGTTTTAATGTAATGGTAATATATATTTGTTTTCCGTGTGTGTGTGTGTGTGTGTGTGTGTGTCATCCTGTGCGTTAATGTTTGTTTTGTGTGTGCTTGTATTTCTTCCTCAGGGTCCACAGTGCTGCTCGGACCTGGCTGTATCCTTCCATTATGTTGAACCGGAGCTGATGTACACACTGGAGTACTACACCTACCACCTGAGAGCGTACGGCTACAGGCCCCGCTACCGCCCTCTGTGCGCCACTATAAGAACCTACACGCACTCTCACAGACAGCCTGACAAACACGACTCAAAGCTGCTCAGGAGGTGACGAACGGGAGGAATCACACTTCAGCCTTCTCTGTCAGAGGAAACCAAACTAAAGCAGAGACTAAGTCAGAGACAGAGGAGAGACATGACACTCTCAAGTCTCGGCCGTTCACTGGGAACAGAACTGAAGGAACTCAAGGATGAGTGTGTGTTCTTCAGCTGAGGTTGAATATACTTGATTTTCAGAGGTTAACCCTGTGCTGCTTCTTTTCTTCTGTTAGGCCTTCACTGATCACAGCATACATCAGCCAGTATTAGACTATGAGAATGATAGTGTGAAAGATTTCAATGTGAGTATGATTATCTGGCAGAACCAGCATATATATTTGGTTTGATTTATTTTTGACACCATCAGCATTCCATTTATAAAAGTGATATTTTTTGTTTGTCAGAAGAGGAAGTGATGCAGAGAGTATTAGTTTAATGTGTTTCTGATCTAAGCCAGTGATACAGCACAATGACAGACATTTGAAGATGTTTTTAAAATCATTATTCATTTGTCATTCTTGAAATGGAGAGAATGACACATTGATATACAACATCTGTTCTGCCAAAGAGTCCAGCAGAAGACTGTACGTGTCACACTGAAGAATCTTTTCTTTCTTGCATCTTTTGATTTTATGGCTTAAAAATGTGAATATTTGTGAACGCCTTTTTTCTCTGAGGAAACTTTACAAAAAGGATTCAGCCAGCAGGGGTGTGATGTTCTTGATTGGTTGAGAGAAGCATCAGCCGAGTTTCAAAAATGTTTTTTTTTTTTTTTTTAAGCTATAGCCATGTGAGAAGCTCTGATGAGTGAAACGCTTTGGGCTTTTTTTATGCTGTAGCATCTGATCAACACAGAATCATACAGAACTCCAGTGATTCCCTCCTCTCAAGTCATTTCATGAACCCCAGCAAGTGAACACTGTAGCAGGTGAGATTGAACATTTCTGTCTGCGCTGGAGCTGAGAGAATAATCAACAGCTGCAGGAAACTGGACAGACATTTCAAATGAATCAGATACTGTATAAAAAAAAAAATTATGTTTATTTTGAACTTTGGAGAGAAATGAATAACATGGTAAAGACATTGTATGAGATAGCATCACTTCTAATCATGTTTGTCTTAAGAGAAATCAAATACAAGCTGTGTAGATTATGAATGCTTTCATGAGCCAGCTGGCAGGTTTACAGTGTGAACCGTGTCTTTAAAAGTGGTTTTCATCAGATATTTACTTCATTGCGTGAATTCTTTGTGATCCTCTGTCTTCTTTGTCAGATGAGAAGGTTGCTTCAGCATGAATGCCTAAAGCCCCTGAAGAAACCTGAAAAAAACCCGCACATGCATAGATGGTATTATTACTTAATTCATGGATTTCATTTATGCAAACTCATTCTTTCAATACTCTGTAACAATCAATACCACCTAGATATTATTCTTTTAAAACTTAGAAACTCCAACAGCAGGAGTCTCCAGACGGCCCCACCATATGATTGTATTCATCTCAAGCCAGTGTAAGTGGTAACTTTTATTTTCACCAAGTATTGGAGATGTGATGTTCTGAGTGAAAAAACAAGAGGCACTCACCTCAGCCTGCACTTGTTAAGAAAGACGCCTCTCCTCTCTGGATACTCTCTCCTCCATGCGCCATTATCTGTGAGAGCAGACATTCAAACATCGTTCCATAAACATATATAACACTGGATTTAGTGAAGACATTAGGACATTTTACACTCACCAGGCTCTGAGTTTCTCCTGCCCATCAAGCCAACAAAAATGTCGTGCATTTCCCCTGAGAAGAGGAATCAGAAACATTTGATTGTGAGTTAAATATGAATTTCAATTAAATTTAACAGAACAGGCTATTCCTGTCCTTGATGAATCAAAAAGGTCTTACTTTTTGTGGTGGCTGTACAGCGTTTTCATCTAGGAGTCATGGAAATAAAATGAAAACAGCTTTATGAAGAGTTACTAAATCAGGGATTTATCTGCATATACAACACAAGGTGTCCTGTCATATTTGAATTCTATTCTATTTATACTTTGATCATCATTATTGCTATACACGTCTTAAAATAGCCTAATGGGTGTGCTCTCTCCTCCGAACAAAAATAAAAGACTCACCGGCATTCCTTCTTCCCATCAGACCCACAAAGCTGTCGTAATCCAAATCGCTGTACCTCTTTAGAATATTCCGCTTCAAATTGTCCAAGCCTGAAGTCTGCTGCAATCATGATACAAGTAAAAACAACTGCTGTTATAAGTTTGATGGTGTGAAACCAAGATCAAGGTTATTACTCGTCAGTACACCTACCTCTGAAGTTGATCTGCGCATTCCGGGCTCCTCCTCGCATCTGGACTGGCTGTACCGAAGTTTCATGATGAGGAACAGAGACACCAGAAGAAAACCTCTCCTCATTTTCTCAGAAATACCTGTGTGAAAACAAATGCAGTCCTATGTAACCATGTCATTTTCTTACAGGAACAAACAACATGGAGTTTTGTCTTTCTCTCAAGGAGAACATTTTCTTGTTGCTCAAATCTCGCTGCGTAATCGGTGCGTAAAAGCGCGCGGTGTAAGGTTTGCAACGCTGAAACAGAATTTTAATTTTATGTTTGCATCCTACAAATTAAGAAAAAAAAAAAAACACATTGAATGAATTAACACATTCGTAATGTTCCCTGTAGTTTCCCCTGCAAAAAGTCTCGGTAATTCACAAACCCATGTCTTCACAGCCCGGAAAGGCAGTCGTTGAAAGAAGACGAATTATTTAAACATTTATACTTAAGGCACATGACAGCTTTTATTTTCTTACCTCTTTTCTGACGAGCAGATAACTTGGTGAAAGAATCAGCTCCGTGCGCCTTGGTGAGTGAAGATGGGACGGATAGATCCTGCAGTGAGATCCTCTCAGAATAAATGAGGCTTCTAAGCTTTGGTGTAATAAATAACAGGCTGGAGACCTGCGTAAAGCCAATCAACGACTGAGGCGTAGGTGGGGTCTTAGGTCTTATATCACGTAATGATGAGCCAACTCGTTGATGGTCATGATGCTGCTAAAGCGCCCCCCCCCCCTTGCCATCACTATTACCTTCAAACACGCACAAACACTCATCATCATCATCATCATCAAACAAAAACAAAAAAAAAAGCGTCGGTGCAACGTCACGAGGACATATGAAGATTCGTGGACTAAAGCCCATCTCTGAACATATTTGGCCATTTTCCTTATAGCCACTAACTTTAGTTGGCTAACTGAAAAGAACAACAAAAAATCTTAATCTGAGTTGATCCATGAACTTTTGTTTTCAAAGTACAACAGTGTCACTGATCCAATATTAAGCCACCATGCTCAAAAGCTCCTCTTGTTGCCTTGCTGCTCTATTGACTATTTGACATAATCACAGTCAACATACTAATCTTTTTAGGAAGTAATTATATGAGTAGCAGCTGCCTCTGCCTGTCACTAGAGATGATTGATGGGTTACACAGTGGTCTGCCGAATTAACCCACCAATAGAGATAATGTGCAAATAAAACAGCTTTTTGTTCAGCCTTTCTCCTGACAGGTTGTGATTATTTCATTGATCAACTGTTTCATTTTTCAAACCATGCTCTATGAAATAAAAGATGCATAAATGACTGAATGTTTGTCAAAAGCACAAATAAAGAGCTGAATCATTATCAGAGCAGCAATGGAACAGACAGACTGAAATCCATACATATTGTTTTGACAGACATATTTTATACTAGAAATGACACTGAGTAACAATGCATTCAGACAGACACTTTCCATGGCTTCTGAGTTCTGCCTTAAACGGCCCTGACAGATGCTGGGATGACGTGTCTGTCTTGCAACTTGAAAAAGCACCCGTTGTGTACTGTGTACTTTTAAAAGTACATCTCCCACTAAACAGCACAACATGATTTAGTTGCTATTGCACCTATATGCAAATCATGAAAATACAATAGCATAATGCATACAATGGATACGTGTAAGTAAACAGAGGAATGAAAATGAAGTATTCATTTAAATCTGGACAACATTTGTTTAATTTAACACTCTTTCCTCCTTCATCATCAATGCATGAAAACAGCTCACATAGTGCCCATAACAAACCTATCATTTGTCTTGCAATTACACAAGCAATTAGTCTTTTGTCTGTGTTTGTGAACACATTCAGGATGCAAACATGCATAAATATTTCAGCAAAGTGAAGTTTGTATCATAGCTGTGAAAAGGCAGAGGGAACTATCAATGGCTGTGGACTCTAGTGATTGAGGCCTGATAGGGTATGGCACCAACAACAAAGCAGCAGGCAAGAACTTCATAGAAGGTTAACTCTTGTATGTTTTAATAATGACTTCCTATTCCCATATTTGTCCTGCTCCTGTATGTAGTAGTGTGGGGGCAGCAGTGCAGGCAGGGGTTCGGGATGGGAGATCTGACACAAGTGGGGAAGTCATTAATTGCTTTTTTACATTATTGATGAGTGTTTTATTATCCCCCTTGATAATCAAAGCAATCCTCTTTCAGGACAAACACAGAGCACAGGGATAGAGTGCCAGGGGCTGTTTATCCACAACATGCCATGGGAGGGGAATTTCCCTCACCGAACCGAAAGGTAAATGGATATTGGATGTGATGAGCTTCGGGGCTAGATGGACGTCCTGCTCTACATCACAGGTTGTCACATGCCCTGTGTGCTGCTAAACAATATGACATGAACCCTGAGCTGTATTACATTTTGACGTCATTCATTCCCGGAACCAAAAAATAGTCTCACTATGCAAGAGCTCCCCTCAGAGCTACAGACAACTGTGAAGGTGATTTGACAATATCTGTCACTGACAGGTCAGCAGGACGTTCACGGTTGGCTCGCCAACAGCAGATAGCCTATGGTGGCTAAAGGTGAAACACAATGAGAGATGACATAAGGAAAACAAAACAAAAAAAGCTCAATTTCATACTTACTCATTTGATAAGAATATAAATGATGAAGCATGTCCCAGAATTTGTATTAAGTATAAGAAATAATACTAATATTATTCTGCTGAAAGTCGAGCAGCTTGCCACTTGAAAAACTTGAAGTCTTCCTTTGCAAATGTTAAAGCTCCTGTGAGGAGTATTTAACTGGTAATGAAACAGACCTATAGCAATACTGATGTTTCTTTTTGGCCAAAAAAAGCAAACAAAATGATCTGCATGAAGATTGATGACCTCTAGATAGATATTTTAAATTCCTGAAAATGCTGCCGCAGGGTAGGTGTCAGACAAAGTGAGTTACAGCATGCTAAAGACACAGCCTTTCTTTACATTTTCCTTTGCAAAGATTCTTGATGAGTGATACATTTGACTGTGAAGGATGAAATTTCCTGTTTAAAAACACTACTTACACATGTAAAATCAGCGAAGAGATCAAGGCCTGTGTTCACAGACAACTGCCGCTTCACAGAGCTTCTCACCGGCGCTCACTGTTGCTAGATTTCGAAAGTTTACATCTGCTTCCCTCTGTAATGTCCATTAGGTGTGTTATAGATAGCTCTGTGTGCTTAATATCTGCTTTAATTCCAGGAAATATCACCAAGAATATCACCTAAAAACAATACAAAGGAGTCATGTCCTGCCATCAGTAGCAGCTCTACAACTGGAAATTCTTCCCTCGAAAAGAAAAGTCAGGCTACCGTCTCCTCTGCCATTGTTGTTGACAAAGTCTTCATTCTGATTGGTCAGTGAGGGACATGACATTGACGAGCGCTGCGCTGTTCCAAAAGTTTAGCTGTTTTCAACTGAGCGCTCTTTGAACGCAAATCTGTCACCAAGAGAGTTTCTGTGCACATGGTGCTGAATGCTGAAGACACTGAACTTCATTGGTTTTGTATTAAAAACTAACGCTGCCAGCACTGTCTGTGGGTAAAGGCAAAAAGAGAGCCACAAATAAACTGTAAAATTCTCCATGTGAGCTGTCAGTTGCAGTAAGTTAATCAAAAACACACTTGGAGGTTTGTTAATAGAAAGTTGATTAAACATTAGCGTCATTGTTCCAATAAAATCTTCCTCTGGTTTCATCCATAACAACTTTAACAGTTAGATTTGATAGTGTGGCTCATTTATCCTGAATCTAAATGGATTGAATTAACAAACTGAATAGTTTGTGATCACCTTGCTGTTGAACATACACTAAAGAGGAAGTAGAGAAGGAATATATATATAAAAAAGGACCCAGCCTGAATCAAAAGAAAAGACACTTTCTTTGTGTGTGATTCTTTGTTGACAAAAATAAGGCGTGCAACTTTATCTCACATAATTTATCAAGTCTCCACTTAGACTGCAGAGAGCCACAAAAAGTTGGCATATGTGGGGATAAATGAATAGTGATTCATGTCTTTATGCAGCAGATATAGCCTGAAGAATAGTCACACAGTCATACCTCTGCTGTCCTTCTAATGGAGCTGTCAATCATCCATTTGTGCGGGTTTTCATGGCCTGAGAGAAACAAGATAAACTAAGTTCCACCCTAGAGACTTGATAGCGGATGATGACGTTACAGGCTGTTTATGGGAGAGATGGAAAAAAAAAGCAACCAATGGAAGACAGAAAAAGTGTGCGAAGATGAGGAGAGAGATTGCCAGGATTTGTGAGAACTGACAGTGTGTTTACAGACTGGGGTTTGGTTCATATATTGTAATCCCTGGTCCATTAGTCCAAGGAGGATTCTGCATGTCTGAACACACTAACAGTCATTCACACACACGCGGCGGCCATCCCTGCTGTTTGCTATTGCTTGTGGCAACATGAAGACTAAAATAATCACATCTCGGTTTTTCTGGGCTGCATCACGGTAGAACATTAGACACAACTGTCAGTAATTAAGTTAATGGGCACTAATCGAATGGTATGAATTTAACCTCTGTATACTGCTCCTTAGAGCATGCAAAATGGTTTTGATGGATGAAGTTTTCTATTCTAACTGCCCCTCCCTGATCTCTGACTCGCTAGGTCCTGAAGTGTCACTTCCATCTAAATGTTAATTTGAAGGCTGTTTCTTTAAGACTGGCGTGGATGCTGATTTACTTTGAAAGTCCATTTGCATTAAATCACGTTTGCTGTGTGAAATTGTGAGCTGTTGTCTCACTAAACCAAAAAACATTCAGTGTTTTCAGTGTTTTCCAAAGAGCTCCTAAAAGTCATTTTCTGCTCTCTTCTTGTCAAAAGGTTTTTGTCCTCTTAAATCTTCTCCCAGTGACTGTGGTCTGTACCGAGGCCTATGGGAAAAAACAAGACCCTCTGACGATGTTTAGGCTCTTGAATCCTTCTTTGAGACAGATTGGGGACTGTTTTGGTCCTCTTCTGTCAGTATTGCCCATTTTCTGCTCATCATGCAGTGAAAATACTCTGGAAGATACATTCCTCCTGTTGATCACAGAGACAATTGCTTTGCTCTGTCGTGTTGACATCCTTTTTATTTGAACTAAAGTTGATAAAATGGGCATAATCATATTCTTGAGTTGTATTTTCGACACTGCGATGGTGTTTCTTTCCAAAGGAAAGTCATTTACATTTTACATCACAATTGTGGTTTTAAAAGTTTGTTTAGGATTTTCTGTTTAGAAGCCAAAGTTTTTGTTGTCTTTTTAATGTGACAATTTATCAACAAACACCTCTGTAACTAGATGTGGCAAAAAATGTGAGTTTTAGATGGGTGTTGAATGCTAACATTTTTCTGCAATGGTGAGAGTTGATGAGTGCTTCAGGCTTAATTTATTTTCACTGTTCATTAGGCTACTCTGCTACCAACTTTCATCCCTTTTACAGCTCACAGCATGTATTTGCATTCAGGTTGAACATTGTCTGTGTCATGATTTGTTCTTGTTTAGTTTAATATTTTGTTAATTCATTTCCTGTCTTATTTTGTATTCATCCCTCGTGTTACTTTTAATCCCTGTGTGCATATCTGATATACCTGTTTTATTTTCTAATTTCT